ATAATTTTTATAAATCCAACTTACAAGCAACTGAATTCATTTTTGGTTTTTTTGGAACTGTTATAATAATATTTTTTAAGTCTATTGAATTTACTTTACTTTTAATTCTTAAGTTATGCGTCTTGTAAAAGTTAATTTATAAAAATTAATTAAATAATTTCTGTTGCAAAATTTTATTTCATTTGAAAATGAAATTAAATTTGTATGAATTAATAAGAAAAAGAATAAAATAAAGAACTGATTCACTAACTCTCAGAATTTTTCTCTAAAACTGAGTCAATTATGATAAATATTAATTTAAAAAAGGAACCAAGAAGTATTGTTATCATAGTTATCAGAAAAGTTTTCTGAATATATTTGATTTAAGCAAATTTGCATAATTTTGCATTTTCTGTAAGAATCGGTGGCTGAAATTGGTTGTGGCATGAATTTTGAACATGTGTGAATATACGTAATTGCCTACAGCTACTTAGAAAATAAGTAAGCAAAGAGTTGCAAATTGAAGAATTGTTTCAAAAGTTGCTTACAAGTTGGTTTTAATGATCACTTGATGGTACTTAATGCTCTGTATTCTGTGAATTTTAGATTTTGATGTTTGTACGAATTTTAATGATTGAATAATAGCTAAATTTTTGTTCTTTCAAGCTTTTTTCTGGTAAGAGACTAAATTTGTTTTAATTAATTTTTTTCTCGCCAAGGATGATAACTTTTTTGTCTTACTTTCAATGACGGGATATGCAGTTTGCAAGTGAATGTGTAAAAAGAAAACGTCAAGTTTTTTTTTTCATTTTTGTACTAATTTTTTTTTAATATTCGAATGTTGAAAATTTTCCCTCCATTTTCTAATTATTACTAATTAATTGCCTCTTTAAGAATGTGCTAGTTTTATGTGACAAGAGTAAAAATTTGAAAAAATTTTGCGCATAAAAGTTGATGCAAAACTAAATTTAGAACTGATTATGAGAGATTGAAGAGAACTTTAAGCATTGAAACTGTTGTTCTTCAGAAAGTGTTTGGAAATTTTAAAAAGTTTGATAATCCATTTGTAAGCAATAAAACATCATTGCAATTATATCTAATTCTTACTTACAAACTGATCAACAAAGTTCTGATAAAGTATCTGATAGCTTTTTTGTTCAAATTAAGATGAATTTGGATAGACTCGATTTTGTATGAAATAATTTCCAACGATTTATGCCTTTTTAGAGAAAATGAAATTCTGCAACTTTTTTTGTAACGAATAATTTGATGAATACAAAATGAAAAAAGAATTCATCACTTGCAACATACTGCAAGTAAAAACTTTCAAAATAGAGCTAAAAAAATAACGAAATGACGAGTTTTGGCAAATATTTTTGTACCAATTTGCTTATTTTCAAATATTTAAAAACTCTCTGCAAGACAGAACAATCTATTTGAAATAGAAAAAATCTGAAAAATTGAAAAACAAAAATAATGCAAACAAACGGAAAGATTTGCTGATCAAACTCAGTAATAATGCTTATTGCATTATTTAACTTGGATCTAAAAATCGTTGATCTGAACTTTTTAAAATTGTTTGAGCTGACTTTGTGTTTAAAAAGTTGACTGAATAATTTGGAAGAAAGTAATGCGAATGAACTCATTGATCAGCTGAACTTATTCAGTGATATAATAACTTGAATCAGTCAGAAAGAAAAAATTAAATTGGCTGAATTGAGCTGCGCGAGTGAGAAAATATACCTCGCGGGAAAGGACTAATAAAGCTGAAAAAGACATGAATTCTCATGGCAAAAATTTCCCAAGCCTAAATTTTGTTTTCATTCCGATTACACTAGAAATTATGCCTTTTTTGCCGAAAATTACATCGTTAACTTGCCTAGCACACAAGTTTGGTCAACAATTTCAAATGTTATTGCACTTTACTCAAAATACATAACAATTAAACTATTTAACTAGTACTTTGAATTTAAAATACTTTGGTCAAAGCTATCAAATTTTTATAAAAATCAAGGTTTTATTTGAGAGTCAGTGATACGTAGAGAGAGACTTGAAGCATTTTTTCCATAAAACGATTTTATGGATTCTACACCACGTGAAAGTAAATATCACGCTCTTTTTATGTGAATATAAAATTAAGAATTATCAGATTCCTATTCTTCTAATTTTATTCATTTTCGATGGAGTAAATTGATAATTAGTTGAAAACTTTGGCTTACTTTTTTTTTGCACATTGGCAGCTGTGCACAGTTACTTTCATCTGCATTACGTTCAGCTGAAAATATTATAAACAAACAAAGTAAGAAAGTAAACACCAAGTTGGTTAAATAAGTGACTGAAGTGATTGCTTCAGAAATTATCAAAATTAAAGATAAACTCTCTCTTCAACTTTTTTGAATAATGTTTCATGCTGTGTATTCATTGTTTTACTGAAAAAGTCGACGATAAGTTAAATGGCGTTAACCTTAAAGAGTTATGACATTTTTAGCGTTAGAAAAAGTGCTTAAGCTAATCCAAATATGTTGTGGATTGATGTGAAAACTGAAGCCGATTCTACGTGGGAATATTTGGTGTATAAATTTGAACAGTATGTCATTATGCTGACATGCGTGATGGCTTACATTTCAATGGTAATCCTCAAATACTATCGAACTCCATCAGAAAACAGTGCTATAGGTGTCAAGGAATCAGAATTCGATCATACAATCGTTAAGGATTTTATTGGAACGAATTTGAGTACAACGGAACATACATGCGCGATGGCTGAAAGTAAAACAAAAATTGCACCAAGGATGTGAAGTGAATTTTTGATATCTGTCATAATCTATTAAAAATGTATGATCAAATATTCCACTTTTGAACATTTAATGTACGTGAACTTTATTCAATATAATTTATACAAAAACTAAAATAACTCACATGATCTAGTGATTATTATATAGACTTCGCTGTTTCTCAGAATCCTCTCAGATTTGCAAATGTGACGCATTATTAGTTTTGATTCTTTAAATGCATGGACAATCCACGCAATATCCAAAATCTGTACAGTAATATTGTATTTGATAGCATGAACCATTTTTTGTAGTATTTAATTATAGTATAGAGTGCTTACAAGGAAAAAAAAATGTTTATTTAGGCACACAAGAGACATTTATCACTAGAGTTGAATAAAACTCAGAAATTATATCCATTTACCAAAGTATACGAAGTGAGAACACAAAAAATTCAACATTTTTGAAAACTGACAATTTAGTTCAGATGTGAACTCAATCACTTGTCGAACTACACTGGCAATCTCTTTCACTCTTATCAAAATTATCATTATTAGCATCATCTGAAGAAACAACGTCAAATATTTCGGTTTCACTCATTTTGAGCAGCACAATATTCTTTATAGGCATGGAAGTAAGTACAATCAGCAAAAATGCTACCACATGCGATAAAATAATTGTCCCAATTGCAATATTAAGCTGAAATTATCTTACTCTAATTCTGACAAATATTTAATGTTTCCATAAAATATTATTAAGAACAAATAAATTGTCATAAATTTGCTTCTATAAAATGTTATTAAAAATTTCTTTCCATTCAACAATTATAATTTCAAGTCATATAAAGCTATACAGTTTTGTTATTTGTCATACTCTGTACTTCGAATTATTTAATAAATTCAAAATTCAAAAATTTACTTACTAATGTCCAAAGAGTTGCATGTAATGGCCGATGCACTGATGAAAATAAATATAGTGAAACGGGTTCAGATACTATAAAAACTATGAAAGTATTTTTTGCTAATGGTGAAAATACTCTCCACTCAAAAAACTTCGAGATGCTGCCTGTAAAACAAAGTAAGTGATAGCATATGTACGTGAATAAAACTTCAATCCACATATGACATTTTACGTAAAAAATTTTAATAGTGACTAAAATGTTGAAAATGCTGACTTCTCATTTATCATTTCAATATGCATTACATCTTGTAGTATTTGAGTGCAAATTGTACCGTTATTTTTATTTAAGTATCCAAAAAAAACCAATGAACACAAAATAAATGCCCAAATAGGCCGATGAAGTGAAGAATAAGCGGCTAGCAACACCTGTGCAGGACTATTTCCAATAGCATACGGATATAAGCCAAATACTACCAAAAATCCTAACAGTATTAGTACTAACTGTATAAGCCATATTGAAGCCTTAAGTTTCTTTCGTTATTCACATAGCAAGCAATTTTATTACATAATTAATTGAAAAAGTAAGAACAAAGTATGAAGAAGTAATGACTTGTCTGCAAAAGCCAAACGTGATGGGCATTCATAACGTGCAATAAAAATTAGAAAATTTTTCTGTTTCAAATTTGCGTCTAGTAAAAAAAATAATATTAACCGATCTATTTAACATATTCACATTCTCTGCAATTTCTGAAATCACTAGAAATTGAAAGTTTACTTTGTTAATCGACTTTTGACGAGTAAAAAGAAACGAAAATAGAAAACCAATCAAAAATGCCGGAGCACGAGCCCATGGTTTTGTCATTAACAAATCAATATAAGTTTGAAAAGTTTCCGAGCTAAAAAATATTTTTCCAGAGTAAACAAGAAGCTTCTATTGCACAAAAAAGGAATATATCAAATCAAAAAAAACTGCAAGTAATTTTTGCATTCTAAATAGCTAAAAGTATAAATATTACTCCAACGAATTCGTGATTATTAATAATGCAAAAAAAAGTAACATTAAAAAATATAATGAATGGAGTATCAATTTAGACTTACGATATCACATTAGAAGTAAGTAATACTGTTGGTGGTAAATTTGTAGTTAAGACTTGATAAAATATGTAAATTATGGAAGCAAGAAAAGTGGATACAGCAACTGCTAACACAGTTGTATAGAAACGTTTCGATAAGTAAAGCATCGGCAGAAGTAAAAGAAAGAATTGAGCTTGCAGTGAGAATAAATAACCTCCATCAAGACACTGTAATCATAATTACTAATTATAGTTCGATGAACACAAACGGAATAAGTAATTAAAAGGTGTAAAGAAACGGAAAGCTAAATAAAGCCCTGAAATAGGAATGAAGTCAAGCGATTAAATTGCTGAAATATTATAAAATCACAAAAATTTGTAGTTATTGTTTTCGTTGCAATTATCAGTACTTTTGATAAGAGTAACGGGTTAGAAAAAAACACTTCTAGAGTAACCTCCCAATTCATATAAGGTTATTATTTAAATTCTGGTTTGAATTAATATTGAAATAGAAGAGATACCGTATGATTGGCGGAAAAAAAATTATTGATGAATAGTAAGTTTTTCCACCATGAAACCTTACAATGCATAATTAGATCACCATGCATCCAAATTGGTCCAGATGATAAACGATCATATAAAAATGTCATAAATAAGATGATGAATGCATATGCAGGTAGAACTCTAAAAATTCACGTTAAAAAACAAAATTTTTAAAAATCAAAGGTATTAAGGAATTGATTAATGAAAATAAACAACGAAAGTAGTGCATTCATTTAAAAGTACATTGGAACTAATTTTTAGTCAACTTTCAGTAAGCATATCAAAACTTCTGGTATAAAAGCATATTTCGAAAAATTTCAAGCTTAAATACATTTTTCATAAACTTCTTTGATAAGTATAAAATATGGAAAATCAGTACAAACTGTAACAGTCGTTTGAAGTACAGTTTTTTGACTGCATCAGTATTTTCAAGTTTTCGCTGAAGAAGTAATGATGTGAATAAAGTATTGATAGCAATAAGAGCATCAATATGATAGCTAAAATTGTTCAACGGGTGAAGTTGCCAATGGTATAAACTATCATATGAGAATAATACATTTTCTGAAAAAGTTAATGCTAAAAATTATTATACCACTAAACATTATACTTCTTGGAATTAAGATTTAACATCAAAGAACATATATTTCTGACGTTATAAAAAGCTAGACTGTCCACAGGTATATTTAATGAATTCTTAGTTGGCTAGAGGCCATATTTGCACGTTGAAAACTAATTATGCAATAAGAATGATCATAAACAATAAAATATTTTACCTATATAAGGTAATATGTAAATGAAACAGTTAGCCGTGACAATTATGGAGACAGTCAAAACTTGCAATCCTTGTACACTGTGATATTCATGTGATCTTTTCGTACTCAGAGCAATTTTTGCATTTCGAAGAATCGAGATGCATCGAGCTAACACGTACAATTTCTAAATTTCATTACATTTATCCATAAAAAATTCCAGTGCTTCCCGATTAATTGTTAGTTTTTTAATTAAAATAAAAATGATAATTATTAAAAATTCTTTGCAGAGACTAAAATGAAACAGAAATTAAAAAGAGATATTCTTACATTACGTTGCAGCTTGCAAGATGATATCGTTGCACAGTAAACATCAATAAGAGTTCCAATAATAAGGAAACATAACCACGTAATAAGTGAAATCCTGAAATTATTTCATTAAAATTTTATATATGAGAAAAAACATTGCAAATGGATCATTAAATTTGGATTTTTGGAAATATTAATTAACAGTTTTATCACAAAATCTACCATTTTTCGAAACGTTTTTTTCTAACCATGCAGTTATATTAAGCCATATACGTGAAATATGCATGCTAATATCAATTGTCACCCATTTCAGCTATCAGAAATTTTCTTGAATAGTCAATGTTTATAATACATAAAAAATTTCAATAACACAAAAATTTTAAAGAAAAGGAAGTAAATTGTTAATATTCAACATTAAAAAAATAATCTCCTTGTCGATATATTCATGGATCAAAAGCAATCCGAAATAATTTTTATCGTTAAAAACAATATGGATCGGAAAATTTTTGAACAAAAACCACTCTTTTAGCACTATATAAGTAAACTCCCCGAAGATAATATAGACTTAATCATTAACACATTCTCAAGATCTAATGTAGTGGAATTCCATTCAATGTTGAATTTACCAGTTAATTCTTACAAATTTGATTATCCACTAGATTCTGAAGTCTGATAATCCGAAAGAGACGTTCAAAAAGTTTACCCATAATGAAAACTGAGACTTTAAATGTTAAAAATGCGAACTTACAAGAAAATTTGTGATGAAAGTGACCAGTCAAGAAGTGTTTCACACTTTGCATTTACAGCGTAAGGTGTTATCACTAAATTATGTCTGTTGTTACTTGTTAATGTTTATTTAATCGCACAAAAGTTAAAGTATTTGAAACTTTATTATTTGTTTTCATATTAATTCCGGTATGTCAAAGTTGATAATCTTGATACTATTTTGCAAGTATAAGTTATGACTTCTAGTTATCTGAACTTTGTGCATAATTATCTAACGTTATGTGTACAAATCTTTTCCGATATAATTAATAAATCACTTCGAGTGAACTGGCCAATTTCTTCAGGTGTACACGCTGCTGGCGCACACAAGCCGAAATGAATATTAAGAGTGTTAGTTTCTGTACAATGTTTATACACTTTGAAGTCAGGAATTTGCAGGAGAATTCGACAATAACGACCATCAAATGAACCGCTTCTAAATTGCAAAGAAAAGTTAGCAAACAAACCAAATAGCGAAAATTTATGATGACTAGCATAATATACTGTAAAAAATAATCCATTCTTTCTTTAACCTCATCATTAATCCAATTTCGATCCCGGCTTTTTCATACTCTGCTAATTGCAAGTAAAAAATAAGAATACTTCACTCTATTAATATCAATCTGTTAAAGGCTATTTCTTGTTCTCATAAATAACAAATTATACTGAAAGAGAATTGCGTCTTCATATTCACTTTCTGATTGTTTTCAGCTATTTTCCTCAAACATAAAAGCAAAGATTTGTGCGAGTGAAAATATAATCAAACTTTTGGCAAATACTTGAGTTTAGCAGTCTAGATTGTACTGCAAAAGTACTTTTTCTTTCTCTTTTTAATTAATTGGAAACATCTGAATGAGTTTCATATTTCGTGAGAAATAAAATTTTTTCGCCTTACTATAAACTTCTCTATGCTCATCAAAATTAATACTTCTAGATACTAAATATAAACTGATAAGGAATATAAGAGATAACAAACTCTCGTAGGACTGAACATTGCTCATAGTCGCCCAACCAGTAATAATTCCCTTCGCTCACAGCTGACGGCATTTTGCCCAATGAATCTAACCCTATAATTTCGCACCACGAAAAGTAACTGCCACATTAATTTTCATCAGCAAAATTATTTCATTAGTGACTTGACAAATGCTTCAACAGTCAAGTGGTTATAAATTCTACGAATTTACAATTTCAATTTAAAAAAAATTCAACCGATTTCGTTTATTACTAACTTCGTTCAATCTTTGTATTTCCACACTTTTACTCTCACAATTAATTCTTCTTACTTCTTAGCCCTAGCTTATATTTTAATATTTAAGTGATCAATATAATTTATTTGCTCGATCATTACTATTTCTACATTAGCTGTGCAATGTTTCAAAAATTGACAGAATACCTCATAGTGTTATAATAATATAAAATGAATCTTTTGTTTATCAAATACATAATATCATTCCAAAGCTAATCAGTAATGTATTTTAAAAAACTAACAATATCATCACTTTTTCAAGCTAACCTTCTAATTCAAGCTAATCTTCTAACCATATTTAAAGGAAGACTTCAATTCTTATTTTAAAAATCAACAATTCAACCTGAAAATTTTGAAGTAAATGATAAAATGATAAACAAACAAGAAATGCAAGAGTAAATGCTTACAATAAACAACCCAAGAACTTGCTTGAAGCATTTCCATTTTCCTTAACGAACAATTAGCACACTGATCAAAATCATTATTTTCCATACTGCATTCTTGCCAGCTATGATGTAAATAGTCAGAGAGATTACAAAAAATTTTCGCTAAACCTTCACAGCAAGGAGTGGTAAAAGGTAAACGATTCTTGGATATACTGCACATTTCTTCTGCGGTTTCAGGCAAATTTACATTATCGAGAGCAGAAAACCATAAATGATCAATAGATTTAGGTCTTGGTGGCAAGCGTATATAGCATAAAAGACAGCAGTGATTGATTGGAATCAGCGAAATTATCAGTACAAATACATATTGCACAAATGGTGGTTCTGCACAATTAAATAATTTCATTGAAAACGGGAAGTGATTTGATGATTGACTACCTGATCAAGTGATAAGATAAGCACTTTGAAAATTATAGTTAAATACTACTGATAAGGACGCATGAATATAAGACACTCTCATTATCACTAATTTCTGACCTTTAAACAAAATGATATTGAAATTAGTTACAAAAAAAGAGTCCATGATTCTGAAGCTAATAGTTTTGAAACGGCAAAATATGTTAGTCTCTGTAGTGAACGTAGATAACAGTACTTGATATTTCAATACAATTTCAGTACTACTTTTATCACTCAACAACTTCATACTACTATGATGAACGTGAACAAATGTCTGTAACCGAAACCCATTACATACTGTTATAATTAACCATACTCGATCTCAAGGCAGAGAAGAGACAGAAAAATAGAATTATCAGCCTATAACACAAAGCAATTCAAAACTGTTTATAGAAATATTAATATCCAAGGAAGAATAATTTGAAAATTCATGTATAAAATCAAAAAGATCCTTACACAACAACATCCGAATAATAAAACACAACAAAACCCCACTTTATTTCCTTTGTGAATGGCCTAGTCACAATCATTTTCAAATTATTTCTATTGAAATATGCCTTACTGACTGCTATGAAAATCTAAAACACACTACCATATTACAATACAAAACTTAAAAGACTTCAAAAAATTAAATAAACAATTCTCCACCAAACGATAGAATCCACACACAAATGACATTACCCAATTTTCAATTCAAACGTCAGTTTAATTAATAAAAATAATATAAACTCTTAAAAGGTAAAAACACTTTCTGTTAATTAACTTTTACAAGGTAAAGTGTCAGAAAACTACTAGTTTAGTAAAAAAAATATTCAAAAAAATACACACTGCAATGATTACCAGATTTTGAAGGCAACACAACAAAAAGAACGAAATTAAAGATGAAAGTACACTACACATTTGATGGGTATTTGCAACAGCTGATAGACACAAATGATACACAGCACAAATAAGTTATGTACACGATCTCAACCAATCGAATTTCCTTCTCATGATTTGTTCTAAAATGTAAATGTTTGTTACAATAGGAACTAATGATTTGGAAATTACCACCACCATCATAATTACTGTTATTTTATTATCCAAGCAGGAAAAAAATGTGTAAACAACCTACATAAGAACTCAGAACGTTGTAAATCAAACAGAGATGTGGCGTGAAAATTGTAATTTGTTAAGTGCAATTGAAATCAATTGAAATAACCAATTATTGAAATGAATCAATGAGAATTTCCAATTAATTCCTTGTCATCATATTTTTTCCGCCATGCAAAATCACTGGATGCAACACAAATGGAATAAAACAAACTGACAAAACTACTAGTTACAAAAAAACATATCACTTCAATAAACAGTAAAAACCTGAACAATCAGTAGCAATATGATTATACCAATAATCACCTCTCTTTCAATGTGTAACAAAAACTGTTTATTTAAAAATCGATTTAATATTGTAAATGCACTCCCTCTTAGAAAAATCAGGAAAATAACTGATTAAAATTTTCAGGTAATTCACACACATGAAGCAAGCATACAGATGAATTCAGCTAATCAATATAAAAAGTAAGATGTCTGGATAACTACAGCAACTTGCCAATGATGGGGTATTTTGTTGCAAAAAACTGAAAAAAAAATTTCCGTTTAGTGAGCCAATAAATTTCTATGATTAAGCCCACTACAGCACATATAATATGACAACAGTTCCTGATAAAGAGGGAAGTGGAATCTTTGCTTAAATTTTTTATGGCTACTATCATAACTAACAACCGATAAACACTAGCGATAAATAAAACATTACTGGTTATAAACAAAAGTGAAATAATCTACCGCAACTATTTTCGAAGCTCAAGAAAAAATAATCTTACTAAATGGTTCCTCAAGAGTCATCGTCTTCCAACTTTATTTCTTCAAATTCATTGCCATGCGTTCTTTGAGCATCTTCCTGTTTCATCTCGTTTTCTTTGAGTTTTGCAATCAAATCTGCATAAAATAATTTCAAGTGGAAGAATTAGCGAACTCTCGTCCTGAATATAACAAATTTTTCTAGTGAAAAACCTCAGTCCCAGTGCCAAAACTTCTACATTTATTACTGCTTATCAAATTTTCACCTTTGGCAACTTTGAAGATTCCCATCGTATTACATTCACATACGTAGCATTTTGGTGATTTTTGAAAATGGCTGAGCGCACACTTCTCGCAAAAATAATGTTTGCAACTGAAATAAAACTTCCAAAAACATTAGAAAACAAAATTAAGAGTACTAGAGTCGTAAATACATTTAACCATGTACGTACTTTGTGACGACTGGATTGACAAAAGACTGCCGACAAATAAAACATTTGAATGGCAAATTACTGTCATCATTATCGTCTTCATCTTCACTGCTTATTCTATATTTATCTGCATCATTTTCATTCATTCTACCAGAAGTATAATCGCGTTCCATTTCCCAACCATGTTTGTAATCAGTTCTATCGTGTAGAAATTTGCAGGAATCTACAAAGTTCAAATTTTCACTCATTTCTCTTTTACTAAGCACGAAAAAATCAAGAACATCTATTTTGGCAAAAGAGAATTCAGAAAAACTGAGACTGATGCTCACCTCCAAAAGTGCAAAATCCAGTCTCCTTGTAATCTTTACAAATATCCGGTGCAAAGTCCCATCTCACTGACTGTCTAAGAAAATTCGGTGCTCGTATTGGACCAAATCGATTCAATCCTGATGAAGCGTTCCCCCATACTGTATCCTTTTTCTCCTTCGCTCCGTAAAGAGCTGCACCACGATAAACCTTGACAACAAAATCAACAAATCATGATAAATGCTGTACACAAGCTTTAGACATGCATTGAACTTTTGGACTTATTATTACTTGTTAAAACACAAAAACTAAATTAGATCATCATACTCAATTTTAATGCTAAAACTAAAATTTTTTATTATATTAGCTTATTTACAACTCGATTTGAAAAATTTTTGAATAAAAATGAAAAGTTTATAAAAGTCACTTTATCATCAAGTCCCTCCTTCAAGACTTGCTGTACTCGTTCAAACTGAGCTTGCGCATCATGACTAACATCAGTATCGATTTCATTAACTGCTGTTGCACCCATATCTGACGGTCCAGCACGTTCCGCCGTTCCACTTGACTTGTATACAACGTGCAATGGATCATCTCTTATTAATTTGTCGTCTTCACCTGATGATGAGCTGTTTGATGAACTATTTTTAGTTCTGCAAATTTTTCGTCGAACAGTCTAAAAGATTATACTTTACTAATATTACTTTTCTTTTTCAACTGAGTCCTTAAATTACAGCTTTTTACAGAGTAAAAATGCTTTCTTGAGTGTCTGTCACTTTCCAATTTAAATTTCATTTTACATATACATGACAAAATGCTTTCTTGAGACCATTCAAATAGGTATAACAATTATTTTGCATATTAGAGCTAAATATATGACAGTAGACATACCGACTGTATCATTGGATTTTTCCTTTTTTTGCGACTACCTACAGTTCTTATCTTTTCGTTGCTACCTTCTCCTGAATCCACGGAATCAGAAGAATTAGAAATACGCTCTCGCCTTGATGATACATTTCTTTTTGCCCCTCTACGAGATCTGAATACAGCTGATGACGATGAAGCTTCGTCCTCATTCCTATCAGACATTTAGACTACGAACTCCTGCAGTGAATATTTAGGAATATGTAAGGAATCATTTTTATGTAAAAGAGATCATTTTTTAATTAAAATAAATTTCTAATCGCAAAACAATAAATTCAAATAACACCAGACAATTTTGAGAACGAAAAAAAAACGCTTGTTTACTCTAAAATAATCAAAAAATTTTAATACAATCTCGCCATTAAATTACAGACTGTAATCACGCAACTTAAAGTTAAACGCTTAAAATGTTAACCTTTCAATGTGCTCTTCAATAATAGTAGCAAGTTGAGTAGCAACCAGTTCTCTTGGTAATGTTGAGATTTTGGCTCTACAAGTCTCCTTTTTCTTCCTTATTTTCATCTCGTAAAACACCAAAGCTATTCAAGCAATAAGAAAACAAACAAGCATTAATGTCTTAAAGGTAGATAAAACGAACCACAGAAACTGCAATACCTATTCATTTATTCTGCTGGAATGCGAGACGTCTATCAGTCTCTCCTACTCTTGAGTGCAATACCGTCTCATTATTCCTGTCGTCTCTGCACATACCACACTTTCCATTTCATATATTTTAGTCAACATAACGCAACTACTCTGTTTTGCCTCCCTCACACACTTTTCATATGAATAGCATTTCTTTGCATTCTCATCTATTTCGAACTATTTTCTCTTTAATTTGTAAAAACAGCGCGCAATGAATGAGAATACAAATAAGTAATGCGTTCTGGGATATATGCTGAAGTTATTATGTATAGCACAAGTCCCAGAGTTCCATTACTTAGGTTTCCGATATTCTCAGGCATATTAGGATGCAGTAAACGCAAGACAAGAATATAGAATATTCAAATTTAAAATCAAAATACGAGGAATTTGCTTTTTATTTTTATTTTGTATCGTTTTATGTACCCTTAAGACATTATTGTTTACATAGATGCATATTTGATCGTATTTGACTTACCATTTTGTTGAACCGTTCATACATTAGAATTAATGATGTGTAATGGATCGTAGCAGTGCATAATCAAATTGTTCCAGGTTATGCAAGCCATGTTCACGACAGTACAACGTTCGCTGTGTTTTGCGCAGTGTATTTTCCAGTTTTCTCACAAACGTAGTTTTTCAAAAAATGGTGCATTATTATATGGGAAAAAGGTAAAAGTGGTGACGTTAGATGCTCTAAACACTCTAGTTCGGTAAGTCTGGAATATAGATTACTCTCCGCATTGTGAAGATGTTACTAACGTTGTGAGAATAAATGATAACTGTTGTTTGAAAAGTCATAGATTTCATTTAATTTTCATGAGTATGTTGACATTTATTTGATTCGCGCTCAAATATGACAACCGTTTGAGTAATAAATCCTACTTTTTTGATTTTCAACGTAAATAATTGTACGAAAATAAAATTTGCAGTTTACAAGAACCACCTGGACATACATACGCCAAATTCGCAAAACTTATCACCAATGTACAGTATAGTGGTAGTGATTTAAATGAAGCATTCGAACGCAATTTCAAAAAATTATCGAAAATGAAGTCATGTTATGGTTATGGTGAGAATGGTGAAGTTGAGTGGTGGACTGAACTTGTGAAAAATTGTTTTGCTGATGTTGGCTGTCTTCCGGCAATTTATTAATTAATTCATGGGATGTATATGAGCTTGCTATAATAATGATGCAAATTCTCTAACATATCATTCAATTTAACCATTTCTAAAGGTTGTTTCTGAAGACATGCAGTAGTCACATAATGTAATATCCAGTAACTGTTTTCAAAAAAACGATGGAGTGCAAGGAACTTTTGACAATCTTGTTACTAAACTTGTTTTTCAGTACATAGAAAACGCACTATGTAGTTATAAGCAGTTCAGGGAGCTTGTTTTTTACAGATTGGCAACAAGAAAATAGAGATAAATGAGGTGGCACATAGGCTTTATGAACATTATGGTACTATCAAACCATGGAAACTAATAGATACTCAGGTACTTAAGATTTAAATTGAACATGATGCGCACACATCAGTCTCTGACGAGCTGTCTATTGCTTTTGAATAGCATTCTCTTATTTCAAACGACCAGAACTGCATATTCAGATCCCTGATGTTTAAAAGTGTTGCTTTTCATTACATATAATTTATCCTGTTAGTTTTTTATAATGTCATGACTTTTCATTTACAGATTCACCAGCATTTAAAGCAACTGCAAGACCGAAGTATCAGACTAGGTATTATATCTAATTTCGACAAACGTTTGAGAAATATCCTGGACATGTTGAAGTTATCACCTTATTTCGAAGTGGTGCTGTTGAGTGGAGAGATTGGTATAGAAAAACCGAACAAAGAAATTTTTACGAAGGCCGCAAAGTTGTTCCAAATTACACAGATGGAAGAAATACTTCACATTGGAGATGATGAGGAAAAGGATTTCAGTGCTGCGAGAAATGCCGGTGCTAGAGCACTCCTATTGGATTATAGCGGACAAAAAAATGAACCTACAAACTGTGTGATTTATTCGTTGAAAGAACTGATTAATTGGCTACAGTGATAAGTTCTGCAAGTTTTTTAGTTGCTATGAAGCTCTAGGAAATATTGTTTGTTGTAATATGAGAAAACGAATAGACAACAACGGACTTTTAAAAATGGAAGTTCTCGTTTTTTTTTATTCCAGCTGTAACAATTTATTTCTTTTCCCATAATTCTCGGTCTATTTTTCTGCTCGTGTGAAGGAACATAATGATCCAATTACTCTATTCACTGATCTGAGATTTGAAATTATAGAAAGTCATCTTGAACTTCAAATAATTTTGTTTAATATAAAAATTCGATAACAGTCTAACTACATAATCGAATTCTGAGAAATAAAAATTGTAAATGAGCAGAATGTTACTCATCATGTAGACAAATTTGATTATGTCATCTATACTTGGATACAATAAAGAGAGTGAATTTGAAATGGAAAGATTGCTACTGCAAGAAGCAAGATCGAGTCGGTTAGTCTTTAAAAAGCATCTATAATTGTGGAACAAACTATGCAGTTACTGGTCAAAATTCAAATTGAGAGCGGGAGAAAATTTTAAAGACAAGAAAGGTACTCAAGTCTGGTAGGCCGATTTATTCTGTGAGCAGTTTAACCTTTACGTGTGCAGAAAACAAAGTCAATTTACAGAGGGTTGGTCGACACATCTATAACCGATAGTAAATTTACATATCAACGATGAATCGCACGTGATTCCGCTAAAATTCTTTTCACTATTCAAAAATGATGAATTTTAATGTACTATTTTATGTTCAAAGAATAATTTGCCAAGTATGCTGATGCTTTAAAAATGTTTGTAGCTAAATTTAACAATAGCGGCCGCAATATGTCAGCAAAGAATAGAAAGCAGGGATGGATGACAGTATGTTAGTATTTTGCAAATTTTTATTGGTGGTAGTTCCTTGTTTAAAGTGTGTGTAAATTATAAAGTAGGAAGGTTTCATGAATAAATTGTCATTCTCGTAAATTTGTAACTTTCGGGATGTCTTTTGTCTGTTTTAAGTATTAAAGTTTTGGGATATTTGATTTCATTCACTAAATAGAACTGACAAATCATCAGACTTATTTGGATGCAATACAACATGTAGTTAAGGGGACAGCAGTAAAAAAACTGTCTTCATGTAGACTATTTTGAATCAGTCGCCATTCACCTGGCAGTGGATATTTGTTAGCTGAAAGATTCTATTTTATAAGTTCCATTTATTTGCTGTGTCTCTAATGTTTTTCAAAAGTCTTGAAATGCAGTGAGTTCTTTGGAACATTTGTCTGCATTTCAATCTCTAAAGCGATTTAGATGTCATCATTATACATTCTAAGTACTTGTTTTTGTCCTACAATACTATATTATTTTGAAGGGACGCTTAATGGATTCGGTAAAAGCATCATCTGATCCAGCTGAAAGAAGCAAAATGTTAGAAACAAATTCAGCGGGTATTACTAGCTTATTGACATTTGTCATCCTTGCTTTAGCTTGGGTTGTGGGCTTTGCTTCACGCTTGTTTGCTGTTATTCGATTTGAATCTATTATTCATGAATTTGACCCATGGTTGGTTTCTGGTTTACATTCTTTCACAAACATTTGATATTAATGCCATCTCTTTGCATAAATTTCTTCATGATGTTGGAAAATAAATTTCATCTTAAAAAGTGTACAGAAGAATTAATTCCAACTTTTCAGTGGTTGTTTAACGTCTGTTTTGCAATAAATGTGAAAGGAATATGTTACAGCGTTAATAATTTAAGTTAACCATTCAGAAGTTGCATGATTTTATTCATATGTATATGAAGTTGTAAAGAGTTGTAATTTTCATTTAAACTATTAATGTTTCGAATAGAATTTATTTTAATGCTAAATGTCCTTGTCCTTTAACCATTCTTATTCATTATTTTGTAGGTTCAACTATAGATCGACGCAGTATATGGTCGAGCATGGTTTCTATAATTTTTTAAATTGGTTTGATGAACGCGCTTGGTATCCACTTGGACGCATTGTTGGCGGTACAGTAAGTTGTTCATTTCACTTCATATTTTAATGATTTATATATAATGTTAATTTCACTATTTTTAATTGTTTAAATTCTTATTTAATTTTACGTGTGTATTTAAAATTGCACTGAAGCTAGTTTAATAATTGTAGACTACAAAGGTAGTCGTGACTGATCATTGTTTTATGTGGATTAAAAATGAGTGAAAATCTTAAAAGGTGGTATTTATTTCTATGTTTTGTGTTTTGTAATTTATAAAAATTTAGGAAAAAGATTTTATAAAAGTTGATCTGAGAATAATTTCTTTCAAACGGTGACCATAAAAGCATTACTTTTTAGTCAAATTCTTACAAAATTATAAAATATAAGAAACTTTGAGTTTTTATACCAGTATTCTCCTATTTTTTTAATCTTACTTTACAGGTATTTCCGGGACTGATGGTGACTTCAGGTGCGATACATTATGTTTTGTCTATTCTGAATATTCCTGTACATATCAGAGACATTTGCGTATTTCTTGCCCCAACATTTAGGTGCTGAAAATTCTCCAAATATTTTAAATCTGGCTCTGGTTTTTTGAAAAGCTTCACAAAATTATTCTCACTTTAAATGATGGTCCATCTGATTGGTATGGAAATATTCATTTAATTTTTTAAATCAGCGATAGAAATTTCAGTGGTCTCACGGCAATTGCAACTTTTTTTTTAACGAAAGAACTTTGGAGCGCAGGTGCCGGCTTGTTCGCAGCATGCTTTATTGCGATATCACCGGGTTATACTAGTCGTTCGGTTGCAGGTTCCTATGATAACGAAGGAATTGCAATTTTTGCATTGCAGGTATCATTTTTAGGATGTGTCTGCTTGTTTTTCACATCAGCTTTATTAAAAAATTTCTAGGCATTGTTGTTTCTTGTTCTTATCTTGCTGAATTATTTTCCAAAGTTAGGAATACCAGAAAGGAATTTTATTCAAGTCAGTTCTGTCATTTTGCAGCTTACTTACTTCTTATGGCTTCGCTCTGTCAAAACTGGTTCCGTGTTCTGGGCATCACTTACAGCACTTTCATATTTCTACATGGTTTCTGCATGGGGTGGCTATGTGTTTATTATTAATTTAATTCCCCTGCATGTACTTACACTCATATTAATTGGCCGATATTGTGCTAAGCTCTATATTGGTGAATATTTTTTTTACAGATTTTGTTTGTTCTCATAAATTTTCTTCTAAAAGGTCTTTAAATATATCATAGAATACTCTTTCAAAACTTCAATCGTGTTACAGTTACTTTGTTTTTTATTTATATTTTTGCAGCCTATACTACTTTCTATGTATTGGGGCAAATTATGGCGATGCAAATTCCTTTTGTGGGTTTCCAGCCTTTAAAAACTTCCGAACATATGGCTGCCGCTGGTATTTTTGGTTTGCTACAGGCAACAGCTTTCTTGTTTCCATTATTATTTGTAATGTAAAGATTTGAAGATTAGTTTTATTATAATCTTCAGTTTTGAACATTGGTTTTTCTGGAAATTGAAAGAACTGAATTACTAGTATTTAATAGGTGATTGCTGCGTTAAAATATTTACAACGTCGAGTTTCAAAACAGCAATTCATGACTTTGTTCTTTGGTGGAATTTCATCGGTCTTTATTTTGGGAATATTAGGGATCATTTTGCTTACATATGCTGGTATACTTTAGTTCTTATATAATCTCGCACATATGGTTGTTTAATTTTAATTCCCAAGATATTTTAATGTATAATTTTCTACACTGCTAGCAGATTTGATTTCACATATTTTCTGGAAAATTGTTTAGCAAAACTATTAATAGCGAAGGCATCATAATGCCAGAGATAATCAGCATTTTTATCTGCATTGTACTTGTAGGCTATATTGCTCCATGGTCTGGACGTTTTTATTCACTTTGGGACACAGGCTATGCCAAAATTCATATACCTATCATAGCATCTGTTTCGGAGCACCAGCCAACTACTTGGGTTTCATTCTTTTTCGATCTACATATCACATCTGCTGTTTTCCCAGTCGGTCTGTGGTACTGTATCAAAAATGTTAACAATGAGAGAGTTTTCGGTATGTTAATCAACAAAATGCTAATTGTGCTTTTTTAATAAAGAAAAAAATTTTTTGATTGCATGAAAAACCAATTTTTTGAAAGCTCGTCTTGTTCTAGTAAATAATGTTAGTTTTATGTGGATTTCACTACTTGATTATTATCATTTTGTAACAATTACTGTTTGTAAAGTTTTTCCTTGTTTTTAGTGATACTTTATGCTGTAACAGCGGTGTATTTCGCTGGTGTAATGGTTCGCTTAATGCTTACGCTTACCCCAGTAGTCTGCGTCCTTTCCGGTATTGCCTTTTCTCACACTTATGAAAAATATTTGATTGATGAAGGCGACCAGTCAAAAAGGTTAGACTAACCTCATTTCACTGCATCACAACAATTCAATATGGAGTTATTTCACTTGTGTTCATCAATTAATTTCATCACCTTTGTATTCAATGCTTTCATTTATTGTACTGATGTAACTTCTGTATTTATTATCTTAAAAAAAGGAATTTAATATTTCACATCAAATAAATTACTGTATGCTTTTGGCAGTATATGTCTCGTAATGTTTTTGCTCTTCAATTGTCTGAAAATATTAAGTTTCTTTAAGATATATCTCAAAATAGAAGAGGGACAAAGTTAGTGCGAATATCAGATGTTGACATAGAATTAGCTTTCTCAATTTGACGCAGATAATGAGTATTTATTATAGTGAAAGTGACAACGAAGAAAACAAGCATTTATATGATATAGCTGGAAAAAGTCGAAAAGGTGGTTCATGGACGAATCAGCCATTACCAGAAAGTGATGAGATGTCTATTGGAATCAATGCACGTTCAATTATTTCGGTGGTGCTTGTTGTAATGCTTTTGATGTTTGTTGTGCATTGTACCTATGTTACGAGCAATGCATATTCTCACCCATCAGTTGTTTTGCAGTCTCAGAGTTCCGATGGGTAAGTATACTGAAATATCATTGGAAATTAGACTTAGAAACAGAATTCAGCCGAAAAAAGCGTATCAAAATTTGTTATAATTTTTATTAACACCACTTTCTGACTTGAATGTAAAAAAAAATTTTTTTTTGATTGTAGAAGTCGTATGATCATGGATGATTTTCGTGAAGCTTATTATTGGTTGCGGAAAAATACAGATGATAATGCGCGGGTAATGAGTTGGTGGGATTACGGCTATCAGATTGCCGGAATGGGAAATCGAACTACTTTGGTAGATAACAATACATGGAATAATTCACATATTGCTTTGGTAAAAGATATATTTAATGTATTTAAAAAATAAAACTCATCTATCTCTTCTAATTCTTGGCTGCTAATGATATATGTAATATCAAAAATTTAACAGAATGCAGATTTTTAGTGAGCAGTTTGTATTATGGATTCTTTTTTTTTTCTTATTAAATATTATCTTTTCTAAAATATCCGTCTTCTTTTTTTGCAAAAATATCTATCATCCAGTAAACTCAAAAGTTTTTAATAATTTAATTATCTGTCAAATACATGTTTTACCATCTCATAATGGTTTCTGAAATGATTTTCTTTTCAGGTTGGAAAAGCAATGGCATCTAATGAATCAGCAGCCTATGAAATCATGCATGATCTAGACGTTGACTACGTACTGGCTATTTTTGGTGGCTTCATTGGCTACTCAGGTTTATCAATTTGATATGTTTAATACTCCTAATAAATTACATTTTTGATTGTTTTCTGTAAATCCTTGTCAAGGGTCGAATATATCGCTCGATGAAAGATGTTTATGTATTATTGTAAGGTATCAGATGAATTGATTTTCCGTACGAGTTAACGCTTTTGATGTTTCAAGTATTTTTCATGATTTACAGGGGATGACATCAATAAGTTTCTGTGGATGGTAAGAATTGCTGAAGGCGAACATCCGAAAGAAATACATGAAGCAGATTATTTCACAGAATCGGGTGACTATAGTGTTGGAGGAAAAGCATCTGAAACTATGCTCAATTCATTGATGTACAAAATTTGTTACTATCGATTCGGAGATATCAAAGTTAGTATTTTTGATGTTATTAAGAGCAAAGTGGAAATTTGCTTGTGGAAGTTAAAGCTGATAAATGTTGTGAAATATAAATAAGCACTTCGAGTACATATGTAAGAGTTATATTTGTCGTTAAGCAAACTGTATCATAAAACGAGCCATAATCCAATGCTAAAGCATGTTGTTTTCCTTTGCTTTAAAAAAGTTTTGAAACTTAAAAAGATCGAACATGATTTTTGGTTTTCAGATAGGTTATCGACAAGAAGCAGGCTTCGATCGAACTCGTGGATATGTAATTGGTCGAAAAGAAATCGTTCTAGAACATTTGGAAGAAGCTTACACATCAGAAAATTGGCTTGTACGAATTTATAAGGTCCTGAAACAGAATAACAGACCAACAATCGCACATAATAAGCGAAGAAAATCAAAATCACCTGTTTTCAGCAAAAAAGTATGGTTGTGAATTTGAATCAAAGATATTTGCAACTTGCCCGAAACCAAGATTGTTTTTCTTCATAGCTGCAACTAATTATCAAGAAATAAGTAAATTTATTACTGCATTTTAACCGTCACAAAGTCTCTTATTTGTAGTTGCTACTTATTCTTGTGCATTTAGGTTTTTTGTACATCTCACTTTCTGCTGTCGTGTAATTATCAGTTTGAAGTTTGATAGATATAATGTCGTCACTCCCGTTTTTTTTAATTTTTAAGGTATCGAGTATACGCTTATATGATCGGAATTTTTAGGATAAATTAAAGAAAGGACTGGTACATGGAAAGCAGACTGTGGTGAAAGGACGTCGACCTCCTAAGCGCTCATAAAAACTTCGAAAAATCTGTAGTTATTAAAGTCTTTTTATTGTTGGTCTGATTAAAAACGGCTTTAGGTCTTGTATTGGGAATATAAAAACCTGTAGAACTGGAAAATAGAGTACTTGTTTCTTTTAATTTATTTCATTTTTTTAAAATTGTTGTCCCTTTACAAAGCACTTTCTGTTGTTGTGTTTGAATTCGGTGTAAGTAACAATGGATGGTATGGAACATTTGGTCTTAATTTTCCCGATTTGTTCATACCTTTTATTTTTTGTTTCAAGTTTTATGATTCTCATAAAGGTTTGCTCTTAAATGTAATTAGTATAATTCAATTAGATTTATAAGCTCTGAAAATTCCATTTGTTGGGTGAAGTATGATCATGTGTTTCAGGTGTTATGGTTCATTGAAGATAATTTTTTGTATTCAATAGCACAGAAGTACAGAACGAACTAGTTAAAAATTTTGTCATTAGCAATTTTTGCATGGCATAAAGGTAGCATTATGAGAATATGAACAGAATAATGGCGGTCTGTAGACTTAAATTTTTTCTTGGGAATTAGAAATTAGTGTAGATTGATGTTTAAAGTAATTTGCGATGAAATTACATGAAATCTGTTAGTTTACTTGTAACTAGTCTCGTGCTTTACTTTTAAATCGTGTATCGTGTGGTGTTATATTATATATATATATAT